CTTAGAAGGCATTTGTAGTGTTAAAATACTTCTCTTCAATATATCTTAAAAAAACACATCTGTTGAACTAAGGGGCAGTATACATACGCCTCTCAGAAATGTCAGTTATTTAATGTCTGTGACACTTCTTCTCCCAAAGTAAAATACATGGATGTTCAGCACACTCGACTGGACAGACAAGAAAAGAGGTAGACATTTTTAAATATGAAATTTCTGACTGATCTGGAAAAATGAGGAGCTGAACAATTTTTTTTAGATACAGTGATTAACGCTAATTTTGTAGTGATTAAATGGTTAAAAGATGATGAGATAGTCAGAATAAAGGCACTTCACACAACTGTGGGTAAAAATCTCTGCTGGCATAAATTCTCTTAGCTTCACTAAAGTCAATAACTTCCTCAGCTGAAAATCTGTACTCCAATGCAGACTTTTCTGATTCACATTGAAAAAGAGATCTGCTAAAGCCTGGGGAGCTACAATGCCAAGAAGTACGTTAACGCAGTTAACAATTTTTCTGAATTAGGATGAGGCCAGACTGCATGTCTGCCGCTTGTCTCCTAGACAAGTATCAAGGAGATAAATAGGATGAGACATCTCTTACAGATTAGCAGAAGTAGGACAAGCTTGGCAGAGAGCTTGGCTGAGAGACAGGCTTGGCTGTTGTATTTGGGGTGAGCCAATAGTCGGAAAACCTAAGAATATGAACTTCCTCTGACGGCATTTGTGAAATCTTTCTCATATAGATTTGTGCTTTGCAGTCTTAAATGTCCCTGCTGGTGCCATTGCCATGCCATCAGATCAGGTAAAATACCTTTCTGCTTAAAGGCCAGGCTGAAGACTGAAGAGAGTCCTGTGCTTTTTGAATTCTCTCCCTGAAATGTTGCAGACGCTGCTGTTAGGGCTGGCATTGCGGTCAGGGTCCTGCCTGTGCAGAGTGACGATGTCTGTACAGTGACAACCAAACATTGGAACTGACCTCGAAATCTCAACTTGTGAAGGTTAACCAATGTTTAGGATCGGCCATGAGACAAATTATGACAGTATGATTTTCCCTCCAGCCCTACATAGTTCTGAGTGGTACTGCGTGAAGCCATGATCCGAAACAGCTATGAGATAATTATTACAGCACAGTCCAGCTACTTCTCTGCACTGGGAATTTCTAAAGACTTTTAAGGAAAGAGGCATTGATCTCAGCAGAGTTAATCCTGGCTTTCTCTGATTTTTAATTCAGACCCGACATAAGCCTAGAGTTCTCAGGGATGCTTTTAGGTGAGATCAAATGTGCTTCAGAAATCTGGGAGAGAAATGTTGGCTCTGTTTAAGCAGAACTAGAACAGTTCTTTGAACTGTGCTGTCTTTTGGTAGACATTTATAGCACTTGCTATACTTAGTAAGACGAGAAGGACAGCAAAATTAGTTTGTTGTGTTTTTTGAAACGCCATCAGTTTAGCAGTTTCCAGTTGATTTAGAGCAATTTGGTAGGCCCCCCTTTCATTGTGTCTATACCTGTACAAATGAGCCTTACCCTTGGCTGTGCTTCAAAGGCAGCAGCTTCAAAGATTCATCTTCATCTTGATTTCATATCTAGAGGATGTAACTCTAGCAGAGAAACATGTGCTTGCTCTCTGCTGTAATTATTCTTATTTGCCGTGGGGAACCTTCAATTCCTTCCTTTCTGAATGGTCCTTCAGCCTTTCAGTTGTGCTAATACTTTCCACCAAAAGCAATTAATGACGACAGTGTGTGCCCTAGTTCTTCTGATAATTTGTGCTCTCTGGCAAGCTGTTTATCAGGAGGACACGATTACAATCTGATTTATGACGACCTTACAATTTTTATTTCAAATCAGAAGCCAGAGAGAGAAACACCACAGTCAGCCATGTAATCCTTCCATCTGCCCACACAAAGGTTGTTCTATAAAGTACATTTCTCATTATTTTTATCAAGCTTCACTTTTAATATCTAAAATGGTGATCTTTTTTAACAGGCTGTTCTACAAACTAAGAGAAATCTCAGTCCCAGATTCTGCCTAAATCTTAGCTACGATCTTTTTGGCTGTGTTAGCCAGCAATGAATATCAATGATGGCAGGCTGGACAGCTACTATATGGCCTTCTATTCAGGAATGGGGGTGATTTTTAAAACAATGAATCGCATCCTGGCTAAAATGCAGTGCAATAATATTTCTCTATTACAGTGAGTTCTCCTCTATTGAGTAGTTAGTTCTTCACTTCTGAGGGTTCCCACAGACCTACATGGGTTTGCTGCTCTGTAACTTTTAGCGGCTGCAATCAGATGTAATGGTGATTAGTCCCAAAAAATACAAAGGCAGAAGAACAGATTTTTCAGCAGGGGCTGCTGAAAAATTTGGCTTGATGCAGGGCTACTTGATGGTTGGCTTCCAGTCTAGCCGTTATTTATTATGTACTGTCCCGTAACCATTTGACTCAACCCTGGCTGAGCAGGCTAAGCACTGTGAAAGCTAATGGTGAAAGCACATATCTATTAACTGTAAATTATACTTTATTTATTTATCTCCCCTTAGATGCTATTATTGGCTATACTAGCCACAGTTATTTTTCTTATAGTATGGGTTTGGCCTGTGTCTCTCTCTGTCAGGCCCATTTTATGTGCTGTACGCACAAGGCTTGCCCACATCTATATTTTTTTGTCATCTGAGCTGTCTTCATAGCTGCACAGCTAGCAATGAAGTGCACTATTGCAAAGGCCCAGACATTTGATATCCAAAAAAAGGACAAGCCAACCAGCACTGAAACCTCTCCTGTTGCATTGCTTGTGGCAATGCTCCAATTCCTGCGGCAGTGTTCCGACTGGCAAGTTTGCAACTCTAACCATGAAAAGGGGAAGGGGAGCTTTGTAAGATGGTCTGACCTGTATATCACTAGAGAGTCAATATTGCAGAACTGGAGGGTCAGCCTATGATCTATGCTTAACCATTCTATACTTAATTGTATGTTTAGTGGATGAGGTCCAAAATGCTGAGCAGGATATAGCTCCAAGAAGCTTGCTTTAAGAGGTTGGAATAAATCATGCAGAAGGGTCAACCCAGAGAAAAATATAACAAAATTGCTCTCAGTGCAGTTGGCACCCTCTTGTCGGATATTTTCCTCCTTCCTAAGATTTGTAAGAACATGATTTATTGGTTACATTTCCCTCACTGTTGTTTTAAGCTTCTGCAGTGGCATTGAAACTACACTCACACTTCTCCAAGTTTCTAATTCATTGCTAGAACAGCCCACAAAACTAGACTACGGTCTATTAATTCCTGACTTTTTCACTTTGTTCCTGTAATAAGTTTCTTCTGCTCATTTCTAGCTATAGCAAAGGCTTAAATCCCATGTTATTAAGATTTTGGTTTTAAACAAACTTCTTTCTAGGGTGGAGTTTTTCCGGCTTTGGTTAGTAGAGCAGGATGATATTTATTCTTAGTCACTCTGGTTTAACCATTGCAGTCTTGCAGGACTGGGCTGTCTCCATCCCATGGTTACTGATGCAATCCTGATACTTGCAATCCTGATGCTGATTTTACTCCAGAGTGATCTTTCATAATATTGAAGCTCAAGAAGTGGCCAGTTTTCTGTGACTGCAAATACACCAGTGTGTCTAGGTGAAGTCATTGTATGTCAGCCAGAAAGGCATGTTTTACACAGGCAAATGAACTTCTGAAACTATGTTTCTGTTGCTTATCCACAGCTGAAGCATCTTTTGCTTAGCTAATTCTTCTAAAAGCACTCACTGTGGGAGACAACAGCCTGCTGGCAGTTACTGCGTCACTCTGTGCAGTTTACAAGCAGTCGTTATCAGATTCAGCCAAAAGCAGGAGTATGAACCATACCTTACTTGAATTCCTGAGTTAAATAACTGCTCAAGAAACCCCACAGAGACTGGGAAAGCCTGAAGTTAAAAAGTGGTTGGTTTTAATAACCCAGCTTACTAACCTCCGGAAATCAAGCTACAAAAAAAAAAAAAAAAAGAAAAGAAAAGGAAAGAAAAGAAAAAGATGTAAAAGAATAGCCTATCAGGTACTTTGCATTTTTTGGTTTTTTGTGATTAGATGTAACGAGGGTTCTGATCTTACGAGTAATTGGTTTTGCCCAAAAGTAATTGATGTCAGTGTGTCTGAAAACATTATAGGCTTCACATTTTCACAGTGAATAACTACAGTAAGGGACTTAGCTGTGTATGTGAAATCCAAATGAAAAGTAGCCTACTTTTCAGAGGGGCCGTTCACTTGTAATTTCCTACAAAATTCAACACTGCCAGAAATAGTGAATATGAATCCGATTCCCAGATACAGGCTGCCAAATTCAATGCCACTGGAACATGGCTGTTTTGCAAATATAAGCCACTCGATTTTTAACCAGATTTTGAAAGTCAATAACTCAGTGCCCCCTACTGTCCAAGTATTGTTAGTAGCAGGTAAGAACTATATTAAAATGCTTTCTAACCATTGTTCTGCTACTTAATTTCTGTTCTCTGTCTTCTTACGTTCTTTTTAAAAAAATCTGCAGCTACATTTTCACAATAGATACAGATTTCATATTCAGTAAAAAACACGAGCCTGGTGGCTAGAATTTGATGCTCATCCAGTCTCCACTAATCAAATTTCTTTGAGGAATCTCTACCTAAGCAATCAAAAATGCACTCTTAACCCATCACAATTTTTTGTTTCCCGGGATTAATTTCAGTCACAGAAGTCTTGGCTTTAAAGTTGGTAATAAAGTAGGCCAGAGATTTGTGGAGGAAATCATTCATGCTGCATTTTCTGGCTTTTGCCTTTCTTAATTCTATATCAGATCTAATTGTGATTCATATCTACCTAAAGCTGTTTGTGTTGAATCCATTTCAGTCTTTCAAATAGATCTTGTGAGATGGGGTGCTAATATTCTATAATGTAGAAAAAGCTGCTATCTTGGCACTAAAGATTTGAAGATTATATAAATGCCAGGAATTGCTTTTAAAAAGCTTCTTCTTCAACAGGACCTCAGCATGGCTGTGGTGGTTACTTGACAAATTCAGCTGACAGCTTTGGCTCTCCAGTCTCCAACATAAATGGAAGATATGAGAGAAATCTGGAGTGTGTATGGATCATAACTGCACCTGAAAACAAACTGATCAACCTCACCTTCTCTTCGTTTGCCCTTGAAGCACAGTCTGCTCAAACTTGCCGATATGATTATGTCAAAGTAAGATGGCTATGTATTTTAACAAGAACATGTCCATGAGAACATAACCATGAGGCTAAAACTTAATTAACAGAAAATGGCTTTATGAGGAAATTCAATTACTTAATATAATTTTTCAGTGGGTTAGATTACTACTACCGCAGAAGAAATCCTGCCTTTTGGGAAGCCAATGAGAGTTTTGACATTGACTGTTAGGGGGACTAGCTTTTGTCCTCAGACTGCCTGTATAAATGAGTAGTTAATCCACAGAATGGAAACAAAGCAAAAGTCAAGCACTCAGGAAGTAAACATGAAGATTTCATTATCATACCAAATTGCTTGAAAAGACTTTTATTTTTAAAATTTTGAATAAATAAGTCAGGTGAGCTAAATGCTCACCTCTGAAAGGTATTTTGCTGGCAATGAGCATAAAAAGCCTAGGATACATAGTAGAACGCTCCCAAACAAGATCCACAAACCATCCAGAAGGTGCTTATAGAGCCAGCTGAGCATTAGAGATGCTCAATGCAAAGAGCAATGAATTCTACATTTTGATGAATAAAATCAACCTTTCTCATTGAAATGCTTTGAGTTTCCATATAAAAAAGAAAGCAGAACCACCAAATTAAAATAGAATAAATTTTTGACTGATTTGCTGAAATGGGACCCGAATGTTCCATAATGAGATTTACACCATCTGACAGAATTAATTTGACGGTGAAGAATTGTAGTCATCAGCAACATCCTGTTAAAGCACAAGAGCACCTTCTATGTTTTCAAGTAGGACAAACTATAACCTCAGGAGGGGTCAGAGAACTTGATTTCTATTTATTTGTTTGTTGTGCCAAAAGTATTAGTGGGTCATATGTTTTTCTCTCTTCAGCTATATGACGGAGGTAGCGAAAATGCCAATGTAGTCGGCACGTACTGTGGATCTATGGTGCCAGCTCCTTTTCTATCTACCAGTAATTTCTTGACTGTGAAATTTATCACAGATAATTCTGTGGAAAGGGAAGGTTTCAATGCTACTTACACCACAGTGGATCGTAAGTATATCTAGATTTATGTTTATGCATTACTTGTATATGTATGTGGTATATACTGTTGTGACTCTTACAGAGAAATATATACCTAAACAGTAAATCATCAAAGCTCATTATAGATACAGGGTCCAGGGAAGGGAGAAGAGAGTCCTTAGCATAGCTCTACAGTGCATCTCAATATAAGCAAGCTCAAAGAAGCACTGCTGGACTCCGATGGGATTCTCTTCGGTCTCCTCTGGCTGCAGGGGGGTTGTCAGACTGGAGCACAAAACAGGAACGTGCTATCATAGACTGCTAACACATAGCCTGATGTTACAGAGAACAAACGTTTATCTGCATTTCATGACATACGTAGACATAGCATTAGAATGTTTTCTACTTTTCTTTTTTTTTTTCACTGGAGAATTACAGGTAAATACAAAAGTATAGTGTCCAGTGTAACTTTTTTAAATGGGCAAGCGCTTTTCCCCAGTTGGAAAGGTTTTCATTCTGTGATGTATTTATTACTATTTTAAACAGGACTATGCGGAGGAACTTATAATGCTACTGCTACCTCCCTGACTGCAATGTCACCTAACTTCCCGAACGAATATCCACCATTTACCCACTGTATGTGGATCATTGATGCTCCTCCGCAGCAGCAAGTCAGGTTGGTGGTAGAGGCCTTCCACCTGCACTCCAACCAAGACTGCTCTCAGAATTACCTAGAGCTCCAAGACTCACCAATGGTAGGAAATTTACAGTTGATAGCATACTTTATTCAGAACTACCCACATTCAGTTCCCCTTACTCTTTGCAAATAGAGGAGAAGGCCACTGCCTAGCAAGAGATTCATTGATTATTCCGGATGAGGGGGTACATCCACAATCTTACGCGCTGTGCCCCGCTTAAGGCTTGTAACTGGTACATTGACTTCATGGAAGCACATTATACATATTGAATTTGACCTGCTGAGTATTACACAAATTTTCACAGTTGCACCAAGTAATAGAGCTGCCAAGCTTAACATTCAGAAAATACTGTCCAAAAGCAGGTTCTCATAAACTAATTGTACTTGCTTCCATCCAAGAACCAAGATAAAAATGAATATTCATGCCAAGAAGGGTTTTTGTAGAAGGTAACAGAAAAAAAAAGTCTGTGTCCATTGCATTACATTATTCTAAATCTTCTTTCATTGTTTCTTATTTGGGCATGAAAACACCGTTACATTTGACTTGCATCTGTTCACATTGAATAGAAGATGTTGAGACATTAATAAGTGATTTCTATGAGAACTTTAGAATGTGACTGCATAACTGGTATAGAAAGTGCTGAAAGATCTATTCACCTGAAGTTAGCTACGTAGAAAACCAAGTCAGATCACTAAGTGGAAGTAACTTGTGATATATATTCAATTCCAGCAGAGCCAAGGATCAGCCCACAGGTTCTGTGGCACTGAAACTTTTTCTGTCCCTGAATTTTATTCTTATGACCGCACGGCCATTGTGACTTTCAAATCAGATGAATATATGATTAACAATGGAGTTAGATTTACCTATCAAGCTACAGGTAAGCTTGAAGAAATGTCCAAAACATTTGCCAACCATTTTCTTTACTGAGTCCATACAGTAATAAGTGATACAGAGATCTGAAATGCTTACATGTTTCTGTTTTTTCTCAAGGCTGCAGCAGAGAATATAACCAATCATTTGGTTACCTGAAGAGCCCTGGCTGGCCTGGTCAACACCCCAATAATATAGATTGTTCTATTGTTCTACGAGCTCCACTGAATCACTCAATTTCTCTCTTTTTCCATGCTTTCAGTCTGCAGGACAGCATTCAATGTTCACATGACTTCTTAGAGGTATGAAGCAAATATATATACTTTCTGGGCCTGAGTCAAAGGACATTAATAGGACTGGATCAAGGTTAAGTTGAATTGACATTAGGAACTAATTTATTGCTATGGTTTTATGATGAAAGTGCTCAGATACTACAGTAAGAGGTTAAGGAATATGTGAGTCTTAAAACAAATGAGAACATAGTTTCATTAGCAGTTAGTTCATCTTCACTTAGCTCTTGTTGATGTCACGCAGTGGCAGAGCAAGCTAGGATACTTTTAATTTGATGTCAACATCTGTGGATGAACAGTAAGCCATAAATTTGAGTACTTTCATTCCAGAATAGAGTCTATCATCTACTTGATTTTTTTCTCAAAAAAAGAGCAGATAGATGAGCTGCAGTTACAAGTGCATGATACCTGCAAAGGCACTTTTGGTGTCAAGGAAAAGTGTACGCTCTGTGCAACTTTTACTGCTTCTTTACATGGTTGTTGAAGATTTCCCTATTCATTGGTCAGTTGACAAAAATCAGATTTCTGTGGCAGAATAATTACTTTGTTCTCCTTTCTTATCCTCCTTACCGTCTCAGAAAATGGGTCTGAACGTCATCATTATTACACATCAGAGAAAATTCAAATTAAATATGAGCTATGTCATATGATCTATTTCTTAATGTGACCAGGGAAAGGGTAGCCTACAGGGAAAGTATTAATTCTCATCTGGAATATTAACATTTCTTACGAGAAGTAAAACATGGACTTGCATTCAAAAGCACATCTTAGCCACTAAGTAACCAAGTTAATTTTTATTACTCGGGAGATGTACTACACCATAAAATTTAGCTACCAGTTTCTGATGATGCTTGTTCTGTTTGACTGCTTGCAAAGCTCAGACGGGTTAAGTCTCTTTTTCCTTCTACACAACAGTATCTAGTAGGAAAAATAGAAGTATTAGGATGACATTTATGGTATGCATGCAAGTCCATTCACACTTGGTGCTTGCATCACTGCCTAATTGTACTGGTGTATCAATCACACAGGTATTTAATGTTGGCAGTGTTTTTTTATCCCTTGAAGGTCAGAAATGGGAGTGATGTGCAATCACCACTACTTGGCAGGTTCTGTGGAAACACTGTGCCCAGTCCCATCTTCCCTAAAAATCATATTGTCTACCTTCGTTTCAAGAGTGATATTTCAGTGGCTTATGATGGCTATGAAATTACCTGGACTTCATCATCAAGAGGTAAGGTTGTGATAACAAAGTAATTCCACCCAGCAATTGTATACAGAGGAATTACACAGAAAAGTGGAATTCCGCCTGCTCAGTTTGGGCTCCACCTCACTAAACGCTCAAAACCTTCTCAAGCACCCTAGTCCACCGTATTCAGTGACTGGAGAGGGGCAGTTGTCCCTGAAGACCAGTAGGGTGAGATCTAGTTTACCTAATGTAAGCAAGTCTCTCTCTCCAATGCTGGGTTTAGGCATCATCAGGCATTTCAGTCCGCTTAAGTTGGAGTCTACCTCTTCTACAGAGGCTACAGAAAACATATGGCACATCTGTCTTGGGTTCCCATCTGCTTATTATGCTTCTATGGAGAGAGTGGTGGTGATGGCAGTGACTCCCGTCTACTTCCCTAGTAGTCCAGTTAAGATAGGCCCTGGGATCTAGGCACTCCTAAGCCTAAAGAAGACTGAAATTTGCCCCAAGACCTAACTGTAGTGCTGTGCAGTGTCTATGTAATAGCCACATTCATAAACAACTAATGAAACAAGAGTGAATAATTGGGTAACATAGTTTGCTGGTGACACTAAGTTATTGAAGACAGGAAAGCTAATGGTCAGCTGAAGAGCACCGCAGAAAAACCTTACAGTATTGCGCTGCTTGGTGATAAAATGGTCAATGAAGTTTAATACAGGAAAGTGTTAATAAAGAACATCGGGGGGAAAAAAGACAATTCTGACTTTACCTAAAGAAATGTGGGCTCTGAGTTGATTATTAGCCCTCAGGAAAAAGCTCTTGGGGATAAAATAGACAGTTTTATGAAAACATGAGTTCAGTGCTCAGTAACAGTCAAAAAGGCAAACATGATGCTAGGAATTACTAGGAAAGGAACAGAGAACAGAATAAATAGCTACTGTATAAATCCATGATTCACCCACACATTGAATACTGTGCACAGTTCTGGTCTGCTATTCTTACAAAGAATCCAATATAACTGCAAAACTTTCAGGCAAGAGTGATGGCTTCTATGTAAGGATGTCTACATAGGTTGAGACTTTTTAATCTGGGTAAGAAACTACTGAGTTCTGTAAAATTATGAGTGTTATTTGGAGAGTGAATAGTGATCAACTGTTTATTGATTTTTCTCCGAAGAACTAGAGGTCTTCAGATAAGGCCAAGGGGGGGCAAGTTGAAAATAGAAAGAAATAGTTCTTAACACAGTATGCAGTTAAGCTGTGGAACTCCTGTCCATAGGAGGCTTCAGATTTACATAGACTCAAGGGGTAACTGAACAAGTTCATGGAAGGCAAATCTGATAAAAACTGTTAAATACAAAGATGCCACCTCTGGAAGCTGGAAGCTGCAAAATGCTGGAGACTGAGAGTAATCTGGGCGATGATCTCCACACGCTTACTCTTATCCTATATACTTAGACCTTTCTGTTAGGGTATCTACTTCTGCCCACTGATGGAGATTGAATTTTGGTATACACGGCTTGTGGTTTGACTTAGTATGGTTATTTTGTCTGAGTGGTTTTCTGGTCTTCTCTATTAGATGATGATTCTTCACTACTCTTCATTTCAAAGAGCAGCCAAAGAGAATTTGTCTCTAGTTGAGTAGCTGGGCAATCATCTGAGCAAAGGGCAGACTTTAGACTTTGGTTCCTGCTCCAAGGAGTTTCAGGATTTTGGTTTTCTAATAGTCAGTGATGGTGTATTGTACGTTTTATATTCCTCTTAGAGTGCTGAAGCTGGAGCCTCAGTTTTGTCTCCTTTTTGGAATAAGGCTTGTATAGCCACATTCATTGTTTCAGCTCACAGCGTCACTCAGTGTTTTTCAGTGCTAATACTAATACTCTACTGACAGACTACACTGTGTAGTACATTGTGAAACTAGACCATTTGAGCTAATTAACAGTGTCCATTTCCAGGATGCGGAGGAACACTGTATGGCAGAACTGGCTCATTTGCAAGTCCTGGCTACCCTGCAACGTACCAGAACAACACTGATTGTGCGTGGACCATTATTGCACCTAACGGACGAATTGTCACAGTGAACTTTGATTTCATCAGCATCGATGACCCAGGGGACTGCAGTAGCAACTATCTGATCCTTTACAATGGGCCAGATGCCAGCTATCCATTCACTGGGCCATACTGTGGGATGGTATGTATTCCCTACTGCGTGTGTCTCTGTAATTGATTAAGTCGAACCTTTATTGTATCAAACCTTGATTGTTTCCCCAATTTTGGCACAATTCCATATGGGTAAGTAGAGGTGAAGGCATAAGGCTTCTGTGGCACCTTAGAAGTCTTTCAATGCAAACCTTACAGTGACATCTAGTGGGTGGCATCAGCAAGCTTTTTTTCTCTGAATTTAGTTGCTTCATTTGTGATTCAAGTATTTGTAACGCCTTATGGGAAAAATGCAACAGCAATATCTAGCACAGACCTGTGAGGTCCCTTCTAACCTATGATCCTATTTGTGCCTTAGTTTTTGTGTTATGATTGGCTTTTCCAAAGGATGTTGGTGTTCTGAAAAATTTTACACGTTTTTCTTGCCTTTAATTTCAGGATACAAACATTGCACCTTTTACTGCTACATCTCATCAAGTCTTTATAAAATTCCACGCTGAACACGTGACTTTACCATCAGGATTCCAGTTAAGTTGGACAAGCTAGAACACTGTTTATGAGAAATACCTTACTGTTCCTTGCTACACTGAAGAGACTTCAGATCATTAAATAACACTTTGAAATCTGATTATGATCATACAACTAAAGAAAGACTTTTTAAAAACTACTATGAATACAGTTTTTATGAATTTAGATTTCTGGCCAACAAATGTGATTTGCTGTTGTACTGAAAATAAACTGTTATCTACTGTGAAACCATATTTCACAGTACAGTGAAACTGTGCTTTTGTTAATATTTGAAACACAATACTTTTCTTATATTCTTCTATATAAATTCAAATGCTTTATATAAATGTGGAAAAATAGTTTTACATTTAATAGTATAAAAAGTTAATTAGCCAGGATAAAACTTAAAAACAAAATATTCAATATGAAGTGGATAAGAGGAGTTAAGATACAAAGTTGTCATTAATTAGTTCTACGGAGTTTTGTGTTTTTGTCCCAAGGCAACTTTGAAAGTATCAGGAAAATTAAAATAAAATTGGACACGGATAAAAAATTGCCCCATCCTACAGCCATGTACGTAGATAACTCTGTTAAAGAACTTTCTGTAATGTGTGTTGTAAATAAGAACCTGTGTGAATAAAGTACTCAAGCATTCACTTAAGTTTAGCACAGTAAGTACAGGCACTGAGGTACTAAAACTTAACCACATCGAGAAGTAATGTCAGGATCAGAACCCTTTGTTCATATCTGTGATTGTATTTATTGAGTTTTAATCTCTTCAGGCTTCAAAATCTATTTTAGAATAGAATTTATATGAAAATTAATGAGACTTGTAGTAAATATTTCACCTTCCTAGACAACTTACGGGCAACTTCCTAAACGTTTGTAAAACAGATATAACTTCCATGTAGGACAGACATAAAAATATTAATTGACTTTTGTCTACAATTAGTTTTCTCCTTCCCCACGCTTCAGTGTCCCTCATAGCATATGTAAACAATTTTGTTCATGGGATGTGCAGAGGATGCTGATTCCCAGCATGAAACAATTTTTGTCACAGCTCAGAAAAAGTGACTGATTCATTTCCTGAGTACTACCTGGAATGGACAGGCAAGCAGAATTTATATCACAGCAGAGAAACACTGGCAGATCTGTAAGGGGAAAACGTATTTTTCACCTACTACTGTTTTCTATGGGCCTCATCAGAATTCTAGCTTTGTAAGTATTATGGAAGAGTCACTCAAAACAAAGTTGTTTGTTTAAGGTTACTGAAGTAATTAACTGATGATAAGTGACCACATTAAAGCGTTAATGGCAGTTTTAACAAAATCTAGGAATTGTCAGAAGATTCGCCCGCCAGTGGATGCTGAAAAAGCCATCGTTCCACAAACTTTAAAAAAGTTTGAGAAGCCATCCTGGTTAAAAGAAAATATGGAAAACAAACAATAAAGGAAGTAGCCTGCAAGATATAAAATACAACTCAAAATGATCTGGTAATAGGTTAGAAAGCGAGAAATCTGTGAACTACCACTGTCCCAACAGAATCAGGTGTTAAGATAGCATTTTAGAATCTTCCAAGCACCAAGAAAAATCTAGCGCAGGTCTAAGTGATACTGATGCTAACATGATAAATTGTAACATGGTAAAAGGAGAAATATCTGTATTTGGAGCAAACTGGGTGACATGTATGCCCTACTGAGCTGCTGACAATAGAAAATTACTATTTCTAATAAGGGAAGATATAAAAGAGATAAAAAGATATAAAATTAAACATTTTATCATTTAAAATTAAACATAACATCAGTGGACCGAGAAAACTTTTGCTCAAGAGTCTAAGCCTAACTGATTTCATATTAACAATCAAGGAATGATACAATCATTGTTCATAAAGTTTATTCAAAACCCCACCACACGGGAGACGGTAAGCAGTATGGAAAACCAAGTGATCTGAACGGCCTGGAGATATAGCTACAAAATATACTGTATAGCAAAATGTAAGACAATGCAAAGCATATTTCACATCAAGCTGTTCAATACATTAGAGCTCGCCTGTTTGGTTGGATGTCTGTAAGACACTTCTTTCCTAATCCCTTTGACGATGTCTACACTGCTACATAAAAGGCATGCAGGGCCCAAGGTCAAGTGCACAGATTGATTCACATCCACGTTGCTTAGGGCTTGCTTTGCCTGAGATTTGTTTTGTAGAGAGCTGGTTGGAGCTGCTACTAGCAGATCCCACTTCTATTTACCTGCACAGTCGCATCCTTTAATCTCATAGTCTCAAATTGGACCATGAAGTCTTTGTAGAGGCATGTCAATGATTTCTGGATAGTCAGGCAATTTCGTGTCAGATCTCAGTGTGTGTCCAAGAGTTCCAGTGCCCCAATGTTAAGGATTGTCACACTCATGCAGCTGGAGAGGCTTATGTGTCAGACCATTCAGAATCAGTTTTATCAGTAAAAAAGGTTTAAATATAAAATAATATGTGTATTTAAAATAGACTACCAGTAATAGAATAAAGCAAAGAACAAATAAAACAGATGCACTGATGGAGATTCTTGTTGGCTGCTTCAGCTTCTAAACTAGCTTCCTACTTCCCTCCTCTTAGTTCAAACTGAAGTCTCATTGTATTAGCTTAACATGAAGTTCCTTTTGCTTCCAAGAAGGAATAGGGTGGCTCTTGCCTCCTATTTTTATTTATCTTGCTGATGGTGGGAAGGAAAGGGACAGAACATAAGCTACTACTTTTTGCCTATACCATTCTAAGACAGATGGTTGTAAATTTGCTTACCTTCTGTTTTCCGGTGAATAGGCAATAGAATACTGCACAAAATGTCAGCGGATACGACCATACTTTAAGTAAGCTCTTTTGATGAACTTTTCTGCCTTGCATTTTACTAAGGACATTCCTGGTCTTAGACTGATTTCTTCTTTTGTAGCTTTCTTAAAGTAAGTTCACTGGGAAAACACTATCATCTCTCAGATTTTAAGAAATATTAAATGCATAGTCATTTTGCTGATTTCATAACTAGGTTTAATATAATATCCAAACATGACACTACAGATGGTGAAACTGGGAATGGTCTACTTAATTTGAAAAAAAATTTTCTAAGAACCTATACATTATCTTAGTTAGAAAGGAGAATGCTTCTAGCTTATTGCTTGGATACTAAGGAGATATGGGGACACCCATCTCCTGTCCTCTGACTATTAGTAAGCACTGCACTGCCTTAGTAACATCACTTTGGGGAGTCTTTAAAATACAAAGGTATACTATTTCTACTCTTATAACACTTTTACATTTTTAGATTGAACACACACAGCCTCAGCTCCCTAAGGGTTTTCGTAACAGCATAACATTCCCACTTTCATTGTGCTTGCCACATCTCTGCCTTGTACAGTAGTCTACATATTTTGTTTAAGCCCAGTTGGCTTCCTGTGGTAGAATTTTTCTAATGGAAAAGTCTCTTTAGCTGGCCCCTGGCACAGCCTACTTCCTGGGTTTTTTTCCTTTGCCTTGAGATTTTTGTCTTCTAGTTGGCTGTCTGAGTTTACTGCTCTTTGGCTTCTTATCAGGGACACTGCTGTGGTCTGATTCAGGTAGAAAGCTATGCCAGAGCAGTATTTCTTAGGCTGACTCACATTTTGTCTAACTGGCTGTAAAAGTAAAATGCTCTCTCTGGGAGCAGTCAGATAGTCCCGCTGAGTGTAATCTAGCTGAGTGAAATCAGTAATGGTCATTTGGGCATGTCCTACATGTGAATCTTTTATATCTGCAGGAGTTTGTTTCAATTACTTGAAACAAACAATCTAATACAAGACACACCTAAAATAATGTTCTACAATGTCTATCCCCCCAAATTACAATAAAAAGAGCAATCACACTTTAAAAATAAAATCATATTGAACACTGATCACACCTTTTGAGGGAGGAATTATGCCTTGTTAAGACTGTGTCATGTCCTTAGGGAGAACAAGTCCTCCAGGACAGGTTAAGCTTTAGCCTTGCCAGGAGTAAAACTGACAAATATACTTAATAGACATGTGCATGTGATATTAATGAATGAAGTTCATTAGTGGCTTTTTGATTGAGAGTGTTATCAGTGACATAGCTTATCGACACAAAGTTTAGTTTCCTGAAGACTGATATATTGGCCTACCCCAGGCTGGCCTACCTTGTGAATAGTATTTAGGTGTGATGTGGTGACCTGTAATGTACAGGAGGCAAGTTTTGGTAATTTGACTTTGGCCTAAAGCTCTATAAGGAATCTGCTGTTAAATGCACTAGTTTGTTGAAATCGGTTTTTCAGAAAGGTTGATTTCACTAAGAGAAAAATTATGTTTCACACTGAAACAGATTAAATGTTTTCTGACAGTTTTCTTATACGGATAAATTCCTAGACTGGACTTTGGGACAATGTACTTGGTCTCAGTATGACTCTCTGTGACAATGTCAAATTTTATAAAATCACTGAAGTTCTGCAGAAAAAGAATAAAGAACACTATGAGTAAGAAGAAGGGAAATGTATATGATTAAATTAAAATCCAACACTAACGAGTGGTTGGTGTACCTTTAAATGGTCCAAATACCCTGGTAAATGGTACAAATACAATACAATACAAATTTTAAGTGAGTAAAATGCATGAGATTTTTCAGAAAAAATGAAAGCCCAGTGGAGAATTCATGCTTATGAAGACTGTTGAATGAAGCTGCTGGTACAAGGTTCAATTGATCTAATCCAACTGACTCTTGCCAGAAATAGTCAAAGTCTAAAATTAGAGTAAATTATCAATCCCATTCTTTAAAAAAACAGGAAGAAAGTAACCCACTGCTGTCCTCTAACATTTTATGTGAGGAACCGAAACAGAAATACCACTGCAGAATTATTAAAGGGGACGTCCTTAAAGGAGGGAGCTGTTACTGAGCCATGTTTCTGTCTTGGAAGGTAAGGTGTGATTTAAAACACCTTTTAACTTGCTTTAAAATGACTGTGCAGCAAAATCAAACAGGAACCATTAAACAAACAGATAACTTAAAAAAATTATTTCAAGAAACTGCTATGTGTTACTTGTAGCGTACAATACAATTAAGGAGACACAATCTGTGCTGATTTTTATGTAGATTTATGATTTTATTTTGCAGTACTGCCTGGAATACTTTTGGTTTTATGCCTGTGCACGTTATTATTTTATAGATAATGTGGTAGTTCTGAATACTGCATGTCTGCATTATATTATCTGCGTGACTACAAACATTCCCGCTGTAA